TTGTTGGTAAAAAGCACAGATCAAGCTAAATGAAATAGCGTACACCACACCAGACTCCTGATGTCCTGCGGTAGAAAATACCTACAGTACGTTGTTAAAACCTATATACAATGTTACATTTTAAGGTGGGTCGTGTTTTTACTTTTCTTATTTTTACAAAGATTCAATTTAAATTCAATTCCTAGTAAATATAAGACCAAACATTATATTACAAAAGTATCATATTGACAAATGTGGTTGCAGTATTTTTAAAATTAGGGAATGCCTTCTCCAAACAGTTCCTCCACTCACACACACACACACACACACACACACACACACACACACACACACACACACACAGTCACACCACTGCACAGAAAATCAATGGTTCTGCTCATTGGTATATTGCGTTGGGTCAGTGTGTCATTCATGATTTTCTCCTCTGGCCTGTGGTCATCAGATTAGCTCCAGACGTCTAATAAAATTGAGTGATAATTTGACACAGTCATTGTGATGTGGGTTAGTGTGCTCACCAGATTAATCTCTGTGGAATTGGCAGGGACTTCCCTACGGATCAGCACGTTTCCCAGTCAGTCTCTCTCTGACGGATGTGATGTTTTCATTTGAGGCTTCTTATTGCCATTGAATTTACTCAGGTGTTATGCTTAGGTTTCTTTCAGAAGCTAAAATAAAGCCATTCATGTGTACTCTCTCTCCACACACACACACAGGACTGTGTGAGAGAGTCTATTAGACAGATTCCTGTTTATTCAGTGGGAATCACTGAGCAGTGAGAGGTCAGAGGTCAGACTGGGTTAGACAGTCACATAGATTTAACTTAACCTCTCTTTCCTCCGTATGTGATACTGTTCTCTGCGTGATCTGTGTGTTTATGTGTGTGTGCATCTGGTTTGGCACATACTGAAGTAGCCAGTGTGTTTATTCATGGGATAGTTCACTTAGAAATGAACATTTTACTATAATTTGCTCATCCTCATACTACTCTAACCTGTATTATTGTCATTCTTCTGTGAAATATACAAGGAGATGCCAGTTGTTCTTGTTCATACTGTTAAAGTTGATGGTGATATTTAGTATCAAAGTCTAAAAAGGACTAAAAAAGCACTAAAAGTAGTTTAAATACCATGCATTCTAAGTCTTCAATCTGAAGACCTGTCAAAAGAGACAGGTGTTTGTGAAATGGCTAACCAGCCATTCAGATCCACTGAAACTCTGGCGAAACCTGTGTAATGGTGAAGATAGTGTGCTGACCTGTGGAAATAGTGGTCTTGTCTGAGACCACAAGATCAAGACTCTATAATTCTGGGTTCGGAGAGCATTTACCTCTCAGATTTCTCCAGTAAAGAGATTACGTTTTCCCAATCTAAGTGAATTCTCTTTCTCTCTGTCTGTTCTCCAGATCTGGATAAGCCTGTGCTCACGGTGCACCAGACGGTGGGTGATGTACGAGGGAACTACTATCAGGAGAAAACAGTGTTTTTACGCTGTACGGTAAACTCCAACCCTCCCGCTCGCTTTATCTGGAAACGAGGAAATAAACCAATCGAACAGAGCAAAGACAATGGCGTGGACATCTACGAGCCTCTGTATACACAGGTACAACAATATCATGACTTGTTTTGTTTTGTTTTGTTTCAGTCGTAACCCTACACCTGACCCTTACAACCCTTTCTGGATTTTTACAATTTCAGTAAGAAATTATTTAGTAGGTTTATTAAGCTTTTGTTGTTGTTGACTGTTGACTGTCTCTATAATTGGACATAATAGACTATTTCATTTCATTTCATTTCATTTCATGAACATTTCATGAACATCTCTGGGTGTCCCGAAAGCGACTTTTAGTCCGTTTAAGTTAACTTTTGCAAACAATTTTGTCCCAAAAACTAAGAAAAACCCAACCACTCCCACACACAGCTTTACAAGTTTTCTCTATAGGCCTTACTTTCCCTAACTCAGAAAATAGTTTAATTAGAGTTAATAATCATTTGAATAGCAGATAACCACAGGAGACCCGCTCAATCACAGAGAAACGTACTCAATAAATCAGCAATCCATCAGTGATGAATTCATAATCGGAGTACTTATTAATAAAGAGTTGTTTGAATAAGGTGGGATGGATGGAGATTGATGGCTTTGCCATTAATAATGAGGATTATTCATTTTCCTGATGGACTCAGTCAAAAGAATTAGAGGAATTTAAAATTCCTGAATTCATTCTCTTTATCATGCACACAAAGCTTCTGACATTGCATAGAAATACAAGGATAATTTTCAGGAAATTAAACGGTACCTTTTGTGCCCCATTTGTGTTCACATGAATTACTACTGACATATTTAACAGTATACAGAACTCGGTCTCATTATTTGATAGATTGAACCTTGTTTAGTGCGGAATGCACAGGAAATTCTGGAGCGTTTGTTTTTTTGGAATATCAGCCAAATTGAATGTTCCAATCCAAACCAATTATATTTGAATTGGTAATATAGAATTTAATTTAACTGTATTTCAATTGTGCTTTGTCTTGAAATTGAAATATCCTTAATATGTATTCATTTTAAAATGTTTTATGCATTTGAACCCTGTTATGCTCTGACATTTCCTGTTTCTGACATCATATTTGAAGAAATTACATCATCACATTGTTTTCACTTTTATATTGCAACCTTTATGTACGTTTTTTTGTAGTATTTCGTAGTTTGCACTTGTGTTGGCCTTGTCTCATCTCAAAACTGTGATGCCCCAGGTGGGAAAATGTGATTTCATATTTTAAATGTGAATTACTCAACAGCAGCCAAATTATACAAAAAGAAAAATTCTAAAAGTGTAAATGGCACTGTTTGCAGAGGGTGACCGACAAACATCATTTTGTTATGTATAAATGCATGTTTTGACTAACAGGAAAAACTGTTTTTGTGTGATGTATTTTTACCATGTGAATGTGTGTGTGTTTGCAGGGTGAGACAAAGGTGCTGAAACTGAAAAACCTCCGTCCACAGGACTTTGCTAATTACACCTGTCAGGTGTCCGTCCGGAACGTTTGTGATATTCCAGACAGCTCTGTCACCTTTCGCCTTACCAACACCACCAGTGAGTTCCCATCTACTCTCAAACGCTCACATTCACTCGCTTTATACAGCAGCTGTAGTGAGTTTTGCACATGAATTTTGTGAAAGTCCTGCTTTAATTTTATTTTGCTCATTTCATTACAGGAAAAATATGAATTGCGAATAGAATTTCTTGTCTTTTCGCCTTCAGTTCTTTTTATTCTTTTTTTTCCTCAAATGTTCCTTTTCCCTTGGTTATGTGTTGACCTGTCAGGTTTAATTCACCTTTCTTTGATTACATCTTCACTTTTCCCTCTTTTAATCTCGCGTTCTTTCTCTTCTGCGTTCTCTCGTTCACTGTCTGTCAGCACTGAATAACACTTGTGTCTTTGATCATGATGGTCTCTGCACCGGTGTGTGTCTCAGGTCTCTCTGAAGGCAGACGTCACTATCATTGTGTTGTCCTGTACTGAAATTCCTCCAAGAAATCAGCGAACTGACAGGATGTGTGATTTTGTTCTTGTTAGAGTAACACACATTGAGCTGTGGTGCACATATGGGGGGATGCGAGTTCACAACCTATCTTGATCCCATTCCCCCTCTTCTCCCTGTCATTTAACTGTCATCTATTTCTCTTTGAATTAAAAAGTGCAAAATTGGAATTTGAGTTAGAAAAAGTGCAAAGAATATAAATTGGTCTGAGTCATAAAGGGTAGAATGACCAGGCCATATTATTCATAAAAAAATGGGAAAAGATAAAATAAGTAAATACCACAATTATATACACTACTGTTCAAATGTTTGGAGTTTGTAAGACTTTTGAAATGTTTTTGAAAGAAGTCTCTTATGCTCACAGGGGCTGCATTTATTTGATAAAAAATACAGTAAAACAGTGATATTGTGAAATATTATTACAGTTTCAAATAACGTTATTTTTTATACATTTTAAAATGTAATTTATTCCTGTGATGCAAAGCTGAATTTTCAGCATCATTACTCCAGTCTTCAGTGTCACATGATCCTTCAGAAATCATTCTAATATGCTGATTTGCTGCTTAGGAAAATTTCTTATTATAAACGTATAGTATTCATATTTTTGTGGAAACGGTGATACATTTTTTTTCAGGATTCTTGAAATTTTTTTTGTAAACATTTTAAATGTCTGCACTGTCATTTTTGATCATCTTAATGCATCCTTGCTGAATAAAAGTATTAATGTCTTTCAAAAAAATTACAAATAAATCCTTCTGAACAGTAGACGTAAATCTTTGTGACAAATTTCCCATGTGACAACTAGCCCCAGTCTCTCTTATATATGCTTTTTCACATGCTTTCAAAAGGTTTCATAGAGTGAGTAACTTCAGGGGGCTTATGAAAGCTCCTTCCTTGTAAACTAACGTTTTATTCATCGTCAAAATAAATAGTTTGTGTAATCCATAATGAATCAAATTCACCGCAAAAGCAAGAATACGCCTGTGACTGGCAAATGAAAGAGAACACACACACACACACACACACACGCGTGCGCTCCGCGGCGCCCCATCGGTGTCCTGCCCTGTGGAGAAACAACACACTGCTGCAAATTGGAATTTGTTTTCCGCATGGCAGGAGCGCGTGGCTTGCGTACACGCAGCTCGTCGCCGAAAGAACAAAACACTGATTTGTTTTTCTGTTGATTTTCATTTTCTTTCCTCTGAACTGATGAGCAGGAAGGGGGCGAGATGAAATTGGAGGGAGCATGAGAAACACGCGTCGGATGCTGCGCTGAAGTTTGAGAAGTTTGTCTCTTTAGAGGGTAGAGTGAAGGAGACTGCATGCACTGTTTTAAATTACGGGTCAATCAAGACATGTAACTCCAAAACTAGCTGGTCAGCGTCCGCTTGTTTGAAGGTCAGTGCTCAGATCAGAAAGAAAAGGACCTTTACCACTGCTTTGTCCACTATGGGGGATGGATCTGTAAAAGCCATTTAAGGGTATGATGTTATATCTAAACCATCATGGCTGATTATCTTTTTTCGTAATTGTCTCTGGTTCTCCTCTTATACACTAGAATTCAAAAGTTTGGGGTCAGTAAGAAATTAAGACTTTTATTCAATAAGGACACATTACATTGATCAAAAGTGACAATAAAGACAATTATGTTACATTTTTCCATTTCAAATAAATGCTGTTCTTTTGAATTTTCTATTCATCAAAGAAACAAAAAATCCAGGTTTCCACAAATAGTAATTATATGAAGCAGCACAACTGTTTTCAACACTGATAACAATAAGAAATGTTTCATTTCTTATTATAAACGTATAGTATTCATATTTTTGTGGAAACGGTGATACATTTTTTTTCAGGATTCTTGAAATTTTTTTTGTAAACATTTTAAATGTCTGCACTGTCATTTTTGATCATCTTAATGCATCCTTGCTGAATAAAAGTATTAATGTCTTTCAAAAAAATTACAAATAAATCCTTCTGAACAGTAGACGTAAATCTTTGTGACAAATTTCCCCAACTGTTTTCAACACTGATAACAATAAGAAATGTTTCTTGAGCAGCACATCAGCATATTAAAAAGATTTCTGGAGGATCATGTGACACCGAAGACTGGAGTAATGATGCTGAAAATTCAGCTTTGCATCGCAAGAATGAATTACATTTTAAAACTTATTACACTAGAAAACAGTTTAAACTGCTATAATATTTCACAATATTACTGTTTTTACTGTGTTGTTATTTTCAAATAAATGCAGCCTCAGAGAGCATAAGAAACTTTCAAAACATCTTCAAAAACATTGTAAAAATCTTACCGATCTCAAGCTTTTGAACGGTAGTATGTCATTTTAGTTTTTTTTTATAACAACATTAATTTAACATGACTGACAAAAGTTACCTCTGAAAGACACATTTATGTTCTATTGTAATGAAAGATGTATTAAGAAATGTTAAGTCAAAAAAGGAATAATAAGTGCAAAATGCATTATATTCTTCTTATATTTTTCCTTTTTGATTTAATATTTCATGTTTCAGAAGCTTAAAGATGATTGTCTGATGAATCCGAATTTTTTTGGAAATAGCAAGTGAAATTGATGTCTAGCTGTTGTTTTGAAGGTTTTTGCATTCTTAAACCAATTTTGTATAAAAATGTCTCAAGATATAGGCTACTATTGAATGAGATGTCCAAAATCACTGATATTTCTTCCAGTTCATTCATCACACTGGAAATCGAATGTCAAATCAAGCACATTGCATTGTGGGATACAGTATTCCATGCACTTTCCTCTGTTGTATACAGTACTCCGCATTTTAGCAAACGTAGTAGGCCATCAGAAAGTTTGCAAACTCTACAAAGTATGCTTACTATGTAGTGCAGCAATAGTGCAAGTACTAGTTTGTGATTCCATGTTATGATTAATTAATATTTCGCCTCACCTCAGCTGTGGTAAAATTACTGCAGCCCAGTTTCAACTGGCTTGTTGCTTTAATAGAAATCCGAGGAGACTCAAAAGGAGACTGTTTGCACTAGTATAAAAAATATATCGTATGTCGTATTCATTTGAATCAAAAGGCAGTTTAATGACCTTTATCACTGATTAAATTTAAGTGGATTTCAGCCCTATGCATGTATATCAAAACTCAGCCTGGAAAAGATAAAAAAAAACAAAACAAGCATGCACATGCTTTTGTTAATGCATCAGTATTTTGTGTTTAATTTTATGTTTATGTATTTCATCATTTATATAGACACACAGGCACCATTTGTACAGATTGTTCAAGAGGAAATGACTGATGTAACTCAATCCCATCACACTCATGCTCAAATTAAGCTTTAATTGGATAATTGGAAGATATGGAAGAGAGAGAGAGATTGTTATTATTCAGAGAAAAGAGCAAACCTGTTGGAACATTTCTCTCTTTCAAACAGTTTTTTTTTTCCACTTTTAATATTTTCATATTTTCCTTTTGGCCGAATCCCACTGCAGTAGCGTATGATGAGCTGTCAGTTTAAATGCTTTAGGAGCCTCAAAGAAGAGGAGCGGAAGGAATTAGGACAGGGTCTACATAGACAGCATCTCCTGACAGCAAGTCTTGTTCACACTGGTCAATAGAAGCTGGTAAAAATAAGATGTCATTCTGTTTTTGACAGGGAATTAATTTTCTTGCTACCTAAAATTAACATTCCGGAGGGGAAAGCTTTATATGAATATTAACTGCAGCAGTGCATAAAGCATCATATCATGAATAAGATGAACTATTATCAGATGAATCGCACTTGATCAGAAAGATGACATTTTCTGGCATGGCTTTGTCTGGATTATATTTTCATTTATTTATTTATTTAAATTATTATTATATCCCAGCATGTGGCAATAGACAAATAGAAGAGTAAAATTGCTCACAGTAATACTAACTTTGTCTTGCTGATATTTGACTATAGTATCTAAGAGGATCACTTAGCTTCCCATTGATAGAAACTGCCATTCACTGTGGCTCATGTCATTTTGACATTATTTTCATGATAATTAAGCATATTTCCACTGAATTCTCAAACTTAATGCAAAACAGAAAAGGATTGCTTATGAAGCCGTCCATCCATTCCAAATAAATAATAATACACACACACACACACACACACACACACACACACACACGTCTGGTTTGCTATCCTTGTGGGGACTCTCCTTAGGAGTAATGGTTTTTCTACTGTACAGACCGTATATTCTATTGCCCTACACCAACCCTACACCTAACCCTACCCCTTACAGGAAACTTTGTGCAGTTTTAGTTTTTAAAAAAACTTCATTCTGTGTGATTTATTGGCTTGTTTACCCGTGGGGACCTCAATTTAGGTCCCCACCATGACAGTGTGTATTCAGGTTTAAGTCCCCACCAGAATAGAAAACAGGTACACACACACACAATCAAATGAGAAATACATCCGCATTTAGTCATACAGGATGTGCTTATGTTGTGTTTACCTTTGCCTGTGATTGGTTGAGAGCTGGAGAGATTATTTTATCTGCTATCTTTATGCCATGGATGCTGCAGGAT